GTCTCAGTGTGGAGCCGCGCCAAGCAGAGATGGAAAAGTTCTTTTTAGAAGCATTTTCTAAGGGATATTTAGTGGAAAACACAGAGTGCATTGCTGTATTACAGCTTAAGATAACTATTGATGTTTATCATGATGCTTTTACATCATTTGTTTTGAGATTGTACCAGTAACTCTGTGAGTGAATAGTGCTGATGTTAGACTCATTTTACAGATGAAGAATCTGAGGCTCCAAGTTGCATCGGTGACATAGCTATACAAAATACAGAACATAAAACTTAACAAATCTTCTTGATAGAGATATACAGAAAACATAACAATGGTTCTCAGAAGTGGAGTAGCATATTGGAATTTGGGGAGTTTGTGAGATTTTTTGTATTTATCAAAATGGAGCAAGTTTTTCAATAGGTTGAAAAATACCATACAGCATCATCTTTCATTCTTGATCTTCATTATATTTAGTCATCTAAAAAAGGCTAAATATTCTTTGTATCTGTCTAAGGAGCCTGTCAAGTAGAGTAATACATTACAGAAAAATACTATGCAAAATAATTAGTTTGGCTTAAAAAGATACATCTTCAACTTAAATATCAGAATAATGCATTCCCTTTAATAAATAATTTGTTAAATTACAAAACTGCGAAGGTTTTAGATGTCTCAGAATTCTGTTTGTCTTTTCAGCCAAAACTCTACGGTCGTTTTTTAAAGCTATGAAAATTTGTTAATTGTTTCTTTCGTTTGACCAAAAGTATTGCCCTTTCCCTAACTTTATTTAACTATTAGTGTTAATTTTTGGTTTCTGGTTTTCCAATTTAACTGTGGCTTATATTGCAGTTTAGAACACTAAAGAATTATTTACTGAGCTCTTTATTTTTCAGGTTCCTAGAAGCCAAACCAAACTGGCAATAATGCTTGAAAAATTAGGGATGGATTATGATGGGCGTCCTCACAGTGGTCTTGATGACTCTAAGAATATTGCCCGAATAGCAATTCGAATGCTTCAGGATGGATGTGATCTCCGAATCAATGAGAAAATGCACGCAGGACAGCTAATGAGTGTGTCCTCTTCCTTACCGATAGAGGGCACTCCACCTCCACAAATGCCACATTTTAGAAAGTAACAGCATTTTTGTCTGTGGGATCATTCTAATTGGAGTTGCTACAAAGAGGTATTGGATGAATACTTGTTGAATTAGTCCTGCAGTACAAACTTCAAGCACCTTAAACATTAAAAATCTTATTACCGTATAATAGATAGATAAATATATGTATGTGGACAGATTTTTGTGGGAGGGCATATTGAATTCAT